AAGGACCCGAGTTCGATCCCTGGTACCAAAAAAAAAAAAAAAAAGAAAACAACCTCCAACCCAGATATACTCCACAAAAGTATCTTTCAAAACTGATAGAGAAATAAGATACTTTCATGACAAAGAACATCTGAAGAAATTCATGACCACCAAATCAGCACTTCAAAATATTTTGAAGAACATTCTAGAAAGAAATAACAAGGACTATAACTCCATGAACCCCAAAAGAATGAATCCACCAGGAAAGGCAAGCAATTAAACAGAGGGGGGAAAAAAAGAGGAACCAACAACAAGAAAATAACACCACAAGGATAACTCAATACATAACAGTTATAACCATTAATGTACACAGTCTCCATTCATCAATCAAAAGAAACAGACTTGCAGAATGGACCAAGAAGCAAGATCCAACAATACGCTGCATACAACAAACACATTTAATTCAAAAAGAAATTCACAGACTGAAAGTTATGGATGGAAAACAATACAGTGCACCCTTGACTTATGAACTCAATTCATTTGTGAAGGCTGGTTGTAACTCAAGTTGGTCAGTTGAAGGCTGAGGCTCTTCTACACAGCCTTCAGTGTCTCTCCTGTATACATACAGATCTCAGTGTTCTTAGAGAGAGATTGAACCACAATTTTTCAATTAACCCCACACAAGAAATAATGTTGTAATGTTCCTTCCAGAGCTCTTTAAGGCTTCAATCTGTATTTGAGACCATCTGCACACACAAGCAGCTGGCATTCAGGTTGTAACTCAAGACTTTGTTCATAAGCTAAAACTAAAATTCTGGTCATAACCCAACTTGTTTGTATGTCAGGCTGGTTGTAACTCAAGGGTCCACTATATTCCATGTGACAGGAACCCAGAGAAAAGCAAGGGTACCTATTCTATTTGTAGGAGACAAAGTGGATTTCAAGCCAAGACAAGACTGATTAAGGGAGACAAAAAGTGTAGCTACATCCTTGTAAAGGGAACAATTCAAGAGAAAGAGATAACATTCATAAATATATATGCACCAGATATCAGCATACCTAACTATATAAAACAAACATTAACAGACATGAAAAACCAAATAAGCACTAATACAATTGTAATGGGGGACCTCAATACCCCACTGTCACAAATAGACAGATCAACTAGACAAAAAAATCAACAATGAAATATTAGAACTCAACCAAAACTTTTGAACAAATAGACTTAGTAGATGTCTACAAAGTGTTCAACCGCACAACATCAGAATACACATTCTTCTCAGCTGCACACAGGACATTCTCCAAAATAGATCATACCCTAGCTCATAAAACATGCTTAAGTAAATGTGAAGGAACTGAAATTATCCCATTCATATAATCAGACCAGAAATCAGAATCAATGAAATTGGAAATCAATGGCAAAAGATACTACAAAACTTCATAAACACACGGAAAGTAAATAACACTCTCCTGAACAACCAATGGGTTACAGATGAAATTAAAGAATAAATAAGACAGTCTCTATAATTAAACAATAATGGCAATACAAGATACTGGAACTTATGGGATGCAATGAAAGCAATTCTATGAGGAAAATTTATAGAGGTGAATTCCCATCAGAAAAATTGAGTGAGCTCAAATAAACAACCTAATGTTGAACCTCAAACTTTGAGAAGAAGAGCAAGTTAAACTCATAGCTCATTCAGGGGAGGAAATTATAAAGATCAGAGCAGAAATTATTGCAATTGAGACTAAGAAAACAGTATAATCAATGAATCAAAGAGTTGATTCTTTTAAATATTAAATAAAATTGACAAATCCTTACCCAACCTTATCGAAAAAAAAAAAAGGAAAAGAAAGACTTGAATCCATG